GGGTGCTTGGGGGGGTCTTAGGTTGGGGTGGGCAGAGGGGGTGGGGCCTTCCTGGGTTGGATGAGATAATACCCATGGAACAGGTGTGTGAATTGTAAAATCAGGCTGAGTCTGAAACACCGGTTAACACAACACCTAATTCAGACATGGGCTCTGGAACAAGCTGGGCTGGGTGTTAATCCTGTCTCTGCCACCCAGTGCTGTGTGCCCTTGGGCACATTTCCGGGCCTCTCGGTGCCTTGGCTGCCTATTAAGTGGGAGTGGCGATTGCCTCTTCCTCCTCTGTAGAGGAGACATGAAGGCCTGATGTGATATCAGTGCAGGGTAACTCTAAACCCTTTTTTTTTTTTAATGGTGGGGATTGAACCCAGGGGTGCTCTCTCACTGAAATATATCTCCAGCTCTTTTTTATTTTGACACAAAGTTTCACCTTGAACAGGCTGGCCTTGAACTTGCTATCCTCCTGGCTCAGCCTCCTGGGAAGCTGGGATTACAGGGAATGAGGGGGTCCTTCTCAGGTGACAGTTGGCAGCAGCAGATCCAGGACTGAAGGGAACTTTGTTTCTTGATCTCCTGGGGTGGCCCTTTTCTCAGAATCCCTGAACCCCCTTTATCAAGAACCCTGTTTTACAGATGGAGAAATCGAGGCTCAGGGAGAGAACATGAATGTGTGAGACCCGAGCGTGAGAGTGTGACATTGAATGGAAGACCGCCACGTGTAGAACATAGCTTTTCTCTGAGACTTTATTTTTTGGGCCGCGTTGGGGAAGATTGGAGGAGACAGGAAACCTGCCTTTCTTCTTCTTGTCCTGGGAGGGTCCTGCCACTAGGCGGCGCCAGCGAGTATTTGTCCATAGGTGGTTCTTTCCACAGCTTGAGGGAGGAGGGCCAGGGCCTGGACCCCTGGGTCAGCGGGAGGAGGACTGGGGCTCTGCAGTCCAGGGTCCCTGAAGTAAGGGGAGGCTTGCCAAGAGAACAGCAGTATATCTGAGGGTCTGGGCAAGGGGCAGGTACATGAACCCCTGCAAAGCCGGGGCAGAGAGGATGTATTGGGGTTTGTCAGACCCTGGGTCGGCACCGTGGTTGTGTGGCCTGCAGTTCATTGTCCCCATCTGGTGGCAGGCATAGGTTGGTATACAGTTGGATGAGTGAGTATCCCTCAGGGGACTCCTCCAAAGGACTGGAGGACCTGCGGCCACTATGGGGCTCCAGACACCGGCACCCCAGAGCTGCCCTGGGGTCTTCTCCCCACAGTGACTGTTGCGCTTCTGCTCCTCCCTCCCCGTGGCCCTGAGAGCTGGCCTCTTTCTGGAGACCAACAAGCGGGCTTAGGGCGGGATGCTGGCTGCAGATTACCAAGGAGAGGTGGCGGAGCAGGGCTCCCGGGGCTGAGTCCAGGCTCTGCAGGAAGCGGGGAGGGAGGGAGAGAGAGAGGAGAGAGAACAGAGGAAGAAAGGACAGGCGGTCGGTGGGGGGATGGGGGGCATCTCCTGGGTCTCAAGCAAAGGCTCAGTCTGAGCCATGGTCCAGTCCCCAACCTTGGACCCTGATTAATTTTATGTGTCAACTTGACTGGACTAAGGGATATGCAAATATTAGGTGTGTTTCTGAGGAATTTCTAGGAGAGATCAGCATCCAGCAAAGATCTGGCTCCGCCCCTGGGCGTGGCCTTCATCCAGTCCACCGAGGGCGGGAACAAAGAAAAAGTCCCTCCGTCCTTGAGCTGGGCTATCTGTCCTCCCTGCCCTTGGACACTGGTGCTCCTGCTTCTCTGTCTTCTGCACTTGGGCTGAATCACACCACTGGCTTCCTGGTTCTGCAGGTCAGACGGGAGATGGCAGGACTCTGGCCTCCGTAATCACCAGGGCCGACTCCCTCTTGTGCGTCTATAAATCCTGTGGGCTTTATGTTTCTGGGAAACTCTAACACTGACCCTCCTCTTCCCTCATCCAGCCCCCACCAAACACAAACAATGAAAATGAGAGGACTTCCACCCCCACCCTTCCTCAGACGCACACACGCTCCTTCCCCCATCTGTTCCTCTGGACCACACAGAGGTACACATGTCACCTGCAGGCAGGAGGAAGAGAGCCCGGTGCTGGGCTGGGTGCACACACACACACACACACATGCGCGCGCGTGCACACACACATGAATGGCACAGGTTTGGTCCCAGAGTTTGTGCATTTCAGCAAATTCGTTATCACACTAGGTCACATATGTGGCCATAGTCAGCCATGGACAACTGGACCTGCACACTTAGGTTCTGACAAGGACAGCGCTCTAAGATGAATACTCTTGGCGGGTGTCAGGTGGCACTTCCAATAACCAGCACAGATGTTCACGAGGGAATGCAGATGGACGGTTAGGACTTGGACACACACACACAGAGACCCCATCTAGCCTCCAGTGTGGCCGGGACATTGATGTCACCCAGGCACACGCCACACACAGGACCCGGACATGCAAGGGAAGATCTTACTAAGGTGCATAGGGAGAGACGCCAAGGTGCCCTCAGGCCCCTGAGACAAAGGCAGTCAAGGTTCTGTGGTACAGTGGCCACACCCAGAGGCCACCCACCTGGGTTCACACATACCAGCTCTGAGTCCTCGAGAAACTCAGTTGACTACAGTGAGCTTCCATCTCCTCCTCTGTTATGTGGGGGCTCTCAAGGGTTAAATGGGAAACTGTGTGTGTGTGTGTGTTTACACATCTGGATGGGTGTGATAATGCCTGCCATATCATAACTGCTGCATAGCCAGATGTGCTGGTGCACACCTGAAATCTCAGCAGCTCAGGAGGCTGAGGCAGGAGGATCACAAATTCAAAGCCAATCTCAGCAACTTAGGCCCTAAGCAACTCGGTGAGACTCTGTCTTTAAGTAAAATTAAAAAGGTAAAAAGGATTAGGGATGTGGCTCAGTGGTTAAGTGCCCCTGGGTTCAATCCTCAGTACCAAAACAAACAAACAAACAAAACCCCCTGCTTTATAAACATGAGTTGTTTTAATCAGATACATGATTTATTTAGGGGACATATGTATGGATACTCACATTGTGGAAATCAGTCCTCCATTTCCTTTGGATGTGTGAACAGTATGCTTGGGGCATTTGCAGCCCCGGGGCTGGACATACACACACCTCAGGCAGACCTTAAAGTACAATCCAACACACACACTCACATACACACGCACGCACGCACGCACGCACACGCACGCACACACAGAGCAGGAAGGGTGCTCCTTAGAACCTGGCCGCTGGCACTGTGGGAACATAAAGTGAAACACAGCTCAACGGCCTGTGTGTCCATCAGCCACCCCCAGGCGTCTCCCCTCCTCTCAGTGCCCGGCGTCTGGGGCTCTGCCGTCTCAGGGACTCCGCTCTGTGTGTCTGCTTCTGACTCAGCGTCTGCCTGACTGTGTCGACCCATCTCCATCCTGGCCCCCGTGTCCTCCCACACACAGTGTTACACAGAGATCTCTTATGTCCGGGGTTCCTTCTCCAACGCCAGGCTCCAGCCTGACACCATGCAGGCCACACCCACTGGGTCCCGTGTGGGCAGCAGGGCCTGTCCTACCAACAGGACGTCGCAGTGCAGCTGGGTGCTTTACAGCTCATAGGCCGACGCTGTGGGAAGCCGCGGACAGTGGCTTTGGGTGGTTGCTCTGGGGCACCCTGTACTTGCCTGGCGCACCCTCTTGGGGCTGTGTGGGCAGGTGGTTCCCCGCAAGCTGAGTGAGGGACAGACCAGAGTAGGCCACCTGGTCCACTGACCCTTTGGGATCCTATTACCTTCACCCCAGACTCTGAAGCCACTGGCCGTGGTGTCCCCTGCCACTTGCCCCTGGTAGCTGACCTCCGCTCCTGCCCTCCTGTCCTTGGACCCAACCCTCTAGGTCAGGATCACATCAGGACTTCAGGAAATGCCATGTTCCCAGTCTCCTCCATTTTCTCCCCAGGGACCTGTGAGAGTAAGTCCCATGTCCCTCTACACCAGGGGCTGGGCACAGACTCTTCCTCTGTCACAACCCAAGAATCGCAGACCCCCTGCTTCCTCACAACCAGCAGCCCAGACCCCAGGACCTGCCTCGGTACAGGACGTGGTGGTGGGTAGCAGAGAGAAGCCGCACCGTCCACCTGCCCAGCCCAGCCCAGCCCAGCCCACCAATGCGGACCCCGCCTGGAGAGGGGCCAAGGATTCCTGAGGATGGTCCTTGTCCCCAACCCTGACCCTTCCCACCCTTCCCCCTGCATTGTATTCACAGTTGCTGCTGTGGATTTCTGCAGATGTCTCTGGCTTTTAAAACTAGACTGCTGTCCTCTCTCTAGCTTGTACCGCTGCCCGTTCTCTCCAGACGTTCCTGTCTCTCCCTGTCCTGTTTCTGTAGGACTCGGGAGAGCAGAAGGCAAAAGAAACAGGGAGAGAAGGGCTCTGTGGCGGGGGTAGACACACACATGGGTGCACACAGGTGGCTCATTGGTCAGTTCTGGTCCCCAGCACAGAGCCTCTAAAACCCTTGGGATTTCCTGGATAATAAGCATATTTTGTTCTAATGACATGACTATTTTTTTTTTTGTACCAGGGATTGAACCCGGGGGGGTGCTTAGCCACTGAGCCACATCCCCAGCCCTTTTTTGCATTTTATTTAGAGACAAGGTTTCACTGAGTTGCTGAGGGCCTCACTAAGTTGCTGAGGCTGGCCTGTAATTTACGATCCTGCTGCCTCAGCCTCCAGAGTCACTGGGATTACAGGCATAAGCCACTGTGCCCAGCATGATGTGACTTTGGATTGGCCCCCCGGAAAGGAGTGTGGACGGGCTCCCTCCATTTCTCCCCCCCCCCTTTCTTCCTCAGTCTCTCTGGGAGACACAAGTGGCCACAGCACCACCTACTGACACTCTTTAATTTGCCCGCTGGGACTGAGAAAGCATTATTGCACAGTCTGATAGGTGTGGTCCCTCTCACCAAGATCCCTTCTAGGAACACACTGACTCATGTGGGTCACACACAGACATGAACATGTTTAGCTGTCACACAGATGGGTGCCACACTTTGGAAGGACGCAGCAGGCTGGTCTCAGGGACACACGAGCAGATTTGCAATACTCTGGTGGCAGGTCCAGACACCTGCACAGGTGTGCAGTGGCAACAGATGTGGAGTCACACGGACAAGTAATGACACCGCTGGGCACACAAGTCCTGGAAATCGTGTGTCACAGTGTGTAGGGTATTGCTGACCAGGAACTCGACTGAGCCCCAGGGTCCGAGTTTAGCTGGGTCACACATAGACATGGTGGATCACCTTCATGGATGACCTTCAGTGTCCAGCCCTCCAGAAGTCTGGCTGATCTGAGGCCCCAAAGCCCTCACTGTGAATCACACTGTCAGACTGTTGGGGGGTCCAGGCCCCGGGGCAAACAAAGTCACTCTAATCAGGCAGGAGAATCCCGAGGTGTGGACACGGCCTCCCAGGAGCCGAGGGCCAAGGCCTGACCCTTTGGACAAGGTCCAGCCTCTGCTGCACACTCTCCTTCACAAGGTCATGGCAAGACTCCGATGTGTATGTGAGGTGCTCGTGGGGCTACGGGAGCCACCACTGCATGGGGACAAGAGGCCACACTGCTGCTTGTGGTGCTCCACAGAGACTCAGGGTCAAATGGGCAAGAAAATGGGTTTTATGAAAGTCAGCTTTGAAGGATGATAGAAGAAACTTTTTTTTTTTTCTTAAAATTTCCATCTTCAGAAAACTCAGGAGCCAGGAAAGCTTTTTACAAGGGGCCAGGTAGGACTGGATGTGGTGGCGCCTGCCTGTGATCCCAGAGACTCTGGAGGCTGAGGCTGGAGGATTGCAAGTTAGAGGGCAGCCTCAGCAACTCAGTGAAATCCTGTTTCAAAATAAAAATAAAAAGGGCTGGGGATGTGGCTCAGGCAGGGATGCTACTGATGGGATGCTGATGGGATCCATCCCTAATTCTTACAAATGAACTACTGAGTGAATGAATGGGACAGCAGAGTGGGACAAAAGGCAGGTGGATATGCAGATTTATTAGCCAGACAACCTGCCAGTCTCAGCTTTTTATTTCTGCCCTTCATTTCTGCCTTGTGACCAGCACGCGCCTGGGTCTGTGCTGGCCTCGCTGAACACCTAGCCTGGGCCAGGCCAAAGGTCAGCACTTGCAAACACTCATCTCCTCCTCACAGCACCCTTCTAGGTGGATACTACTGGCATCATTGGACAGCAGAAGGGGTGCCCACTAGGTCAAGGTCACTCTGGATCCAGCGGTCTTCAGAGACTATGATCAGTTGCCATCTGCAGAGAAACTAATTATGACTTGATCTCTCTGCCCTGAAGAAGGTGGTGGTGACTTCATTAACTCCCTACCTGACTCTGCCCCTGGGGCTCTCTCAGACCGCCCCCTACCAAGTCCCATCAGCCCCTTTGCCTGCTCCCTCTCCACCTGCCCACTGCGCCAGGCTGGGGCCCTTCTGGACCCCCCTTGCAGGTGCAGCCTCAGTGCCCAATGCTTGCCAAATACTCGGAAGGGTCTGAGATTTTACTAACTTGCAAAGAAAAAGTCTGCTGCGGTGTCCAGATGCTGGAACACAGGACACTCTTGGGTCCAAGCTTCATTACTCACGGCAGGCAGAGCAGCGCGAGCCTCAGGTTTCCTCTCTGTTCAGACTCTGACCACAAATCCCACGGAGTCAGAGATCAGAGCAGCGCAGGCAGCTTCTGTGCAGCCGCAGTTTGCGCCACCGGCAAGGAACCCGAGCCCAGAATCCTTAATCTTCGATGGGCTACTTGCAAACCGGCCCAGCCTGTGTCCCTGAGGGAGCTACGTCTTCATTATCCGGGGCTGCAAATAGACCTGCCCTAGAGAGACATTTATTTATTCCCCGCAACAGTAAACAAGGCTGCTGTAAGAGAGATGTTATCTTTATTACCCAGGACGTAAGAAACCAGATCCGAGGCAGACAGAATCTGGCAAGGCTTCCCGCTCTGGGCAAACATCCTTGAAAAGGCAGCCCAGGGGCGGGGCACAGAAGACCTCAGAAACCCGTCCGGGCTGCCTGGCTGCCTTGCTCCGGCATCTGCTCAGCAGTCCCGGTCAAACACTGTCTACCACATCCCGCGGAACCAGGGTTCCCGGTCCACCTCCCGACCTTGGGTGGGCAGCCCATTGGGGAACCTATAATAAGGGCGGGGCTCAGAAGCCGGGGGATCTGGGTTTGGATGGGGCTCGGGGTGGGAACGCCTAGGGGGTCCGCTTCTGGAGAGGGCGGGGCTGGAGCCCTGGTGGGCTGAGTTCCAGATGTGTGGGGCTTGCTGCTCCTGATGTGACAGAGGCAGGGCTGGGACCTTGGCCCAGGGTCTGGGGAGAGGGTGATGGGACCACCCCGGCGCCCCAGATCTCCAAAGGCACCGAGGACCAAGGCGGCCCATTCTCAGGGGCTCCTCACCGCGAGGGCAGCACCTGGGCCCGCAATCTGCGCATGCGCGCTGCCCTCTTCCAAAGGGTTTTGGGCCGAGGGAGGAGGGGCCTGCATTTAAGCGTTTCTTCCAGTTCCACCGTCTTCCCGGGTCTTCCACGTCTCTTGCATTGTGCCCAAATCAGAATTATCTCAGCCAAATCTTTTGAACAAAGACCAGTCAGGGCCAGGTGTGGTGGTGCACTCCTGTAATTCCAGCGACTCAGGAGGCTGAGGCAGGAGGATCTCAAATTCAAGACCAGTCTCGGCAACCTAGTGAGGCCCTAAGCAACTTAGTGAGATGCTGTCTCAAAAACAAAAAACAAAACAAAACAAACAAACAAACAAACAAAAAAACCAAACCAAAAAACACCAAATTCCAGGGATGTGGCTCAATGGTTAAGTGCACCTGGATTCAATCCCTGGTACCAAGGTGTGTGGGGGGAAAGACTAGTCAGAGCTGTCTGTGGACCTCAGGGTGCACACACAGGCCTGGAGGGCAGAGGCAGGAACCGCTGTGCTGTCCCGCTGAGCCGGAGGTGTGGGAGGGGTGTGGGCAGGTTTTGGAGTCAGTACTCAGCCATGCTTGGTTTTCTTAGGCCACATGATGTGCTGGGGACAGATTTGAGGCTGGAGCTTGAAGATCAGTGAGAGTGGAGGGAAGGTTGGAGTTGGCTGTGCTTTTGTGGAGTTTGGGGATTGGGGATGTCTGGTTGGCTGGGGATGGCCTGGGTGGAAATGGGATTATTCTGAGGTTGTATGGGAACTGTGTGGGGATTGGCTCGGGGTGGAGAGTGGCAGCCACAGACATGGGCTTGTGTGGTATGTGAGGATGGGCATGAGTTTGGAATCGTTTCATATGCGGGCAGCCGTAGCAGTTCGGTTGAGTTAGGTTAGGTTGGGTTGGTGTGTGTGATGCGGGTGGACTGGGTTGTGTTAAACGGCCAGGGTTAAGTTTGGTTGAGGTTTGGATGGGAATTTGGAGATGCTTGGGAACAGTAGATCCAGGAGGATCTAACTCAAGCAGAGGTGGACTTCCTCTCCCAGGATGATTCCAGGGCACCCTGATCTATGTGTGTGGGGGTGAGGCCCTGGTTGAGCACATCCCTCTATCCCTGCCTTTAGATCTTTAATTGTGATTATCTGAGTCCCTCTCCTGTCACCCTCAGAGCACTTGGAATTTACTTGTCCCTCACTTAGGAAAGAGGGAAGATTTTATCAAGTTCCTGAGACACAGCCAGGGCTGGATCCCTGTGAACTATTTGGTTTTACAGAGCAGCTGAACTAGCCCAGCCGGAGGGACTTTAGGAAGCCTTACCGGGTGTCAGTGGAAGTGGCAGGGCTCTCATTCTTGATTCTCTTCTGTGGTCCTCAAACGCGATTTTAAATGTCACTTAATCTTGAGGTGCATAAGCCTGGTTCCTGAGGCTGAAATATGCTATTGAGGAGAGGACAGTGGCTTTTGCATGGGGGTGCTCCTGACCAGGGTGGGCATGATAGGAATCCCTGACGTACAGATTGAGTGCCCGGGGCTGGAGAATGAGGATGGAGATGGGCATATTTGTGTGTGTGTATCTATCTATCTATCTATCTATCTATCTATCTATCTATCTATAGAGAGAGAGTGTGTGTGTGTGTGTGTGGGGGGGGTCATGGGAAACCCACGTCATTTGGAAAACACTGGATTTTGAAGTGCTCAGGAACTCAGTCCAGGAGACTCATATTTTCGGATTGGCAGGTGGATCTGTAGAACCATAAGGTGTATTATAAGAGCAGCAGTAGATTTAGGGGCCCAGATTCTGGGTGTGGAAGTGTAATGATCCGAGTTCTGCATCCAAGGCTTCTTTTTCAGGGACATAAGAACTTGGAGGGTCAGCGTCTTGGCCAGGGTGGCATAGGGATCAGGGAGACTCGCTACCCATGGTGATGGCACTTCAGGGGACACTGGGTCTTGGGCTGCAAAGGCCTGACTTGTGGTTTGGGCACATGGGGCTTTGCATCGAGGGTCAGTCCTATCCCCGTTTCTTTTCACCCTGGGCCTCTCCTTTCTTCCCCTTTAGATCAAGTCTCTGGGCTGCAGGCCCTGCCCACCTGGCTTCAGGACCTGGAAATGCGTCCAGAACAACCAACACTGGGTGCTCCTCCCCTGCAGGGCTCCTGGTGTGGAAGGACGTGTCCAGCTCCCCGCAGCAGGGTGGGGTCGTGGGGGACTTCATAAACCTCCTCAGGGAGTTCCTCAGTCCCGAGCTTGCCACCTGCCCCTGGAGGCCTCTGTTACCATGTGGTTCCTGGTTCTGTTCCTCGTCCTGTCCCTGTGGGGGACTGGTGAGACAGTGGGGAATCCAGGAGGGGTAGGGGCCTTGACTCTCACCTCCCTTGAGTCCTTCCTCCCCCACCCAGCCCCCAGCCTGACCCTCCAGGTTTGTCCCTATTTCTCACAGTCCCACATTTAATCCTGCCTCTGAGCCCTCTGTGTGGCCAAATCCGTCACAGTCCTCATTCCCACACCAGGTCCCTGCTCCCTCCCAGGAATCCCTCTTCATGAGTTCTACTCCCTGCCGCCAGCCACTTTTCTAAAGGGACAGATCCCGGACCCTCTCTGTCTCTCTGTCTATTCCAAGGACCTCTCTCAATGACGCTGGAGATCCCGGTCTCCCTCTCAACCCCCTTGAGAGATCCTACTAAATGCTGCTGATTTTTCTCCCCCAGCAGGGAGCCCTTCACCCTGAGCCCCCTCATCCTGCTCCTAGGAAACTCAGATTCCATCAGGACCCCTGCTTATTCCCAGAGCCAGGTTTCCTGGCCTGAGGCAGCAGAAAATCTCCCAACCTGGTGCTGGAGTTCTGAGAATTTCCCCTCATTCCCTGACTCTGCCCAGCCTCTCAGCGGTGGCTGGCCTTTTTCCAAGGTGGAGGGGTCGGCAGGCAGCACCACCAGCCACAGCTGCCAGTTACCCAGAGCACACTCCCGAGATCTGCATCTTTTCAAATCTCCAACCATTCTCCCAGCCTGGGACCCTCAAGCCTCCCAAACCTCCTCTCCCACGGGGAGCTTCTCCTTGGTTTCTAGAAACCCCTGCCCTCCCAGGACCCACGCCACCATCTCCCAACCTCCAAGGCCCCCCATCACCCTCATGTCCAGACCCCAGGCCCACTGCCTGCTCCAGATGCTGTGTTGGCCCTCCTGCCCCGAGCCCGGGGGGTCTGTCCTGCTCCCTAGTCGGAATACCCTTCTACAAACCCAGGGAATGGTCTCAACTCCAGTCCCTTCTCAGCACCCCTTGCCCGCGCCCCTGAGTGCCCAGGCCTGGTCCTCTGCCCCCTCAAGCCCACAGCACAGCCCCTTCTTCCCGCCCTAGCCCTGCCGGCTCCCCCTCTCTGCAGGTGCTGCGCCCCCCATCCAGTCTCGGATCATAGGGGGCTGGGAGTGCCAGAAGAATTCCCATCCCTGGCAGGCGGCCGTGTACCATCATGGTTTAGCAGTGTGTGGGGGCGTCCTGGTGCACCCCCAGTGGGTCCTCACTGCTGCCCACTGCTTCAGAAAGTGAGTAGGGGCCTGGGCATGTAGGTCGGTGGCAGAGCACCTCCCCTGGCATGCGCAAGACCCGGGTCCCATCCTCAGCAGCTTGTCCAAAAGAAGTGAGTGGGGCCTGGGAGTCTGGGAGGGGGCTTCTGTGCCCCACGGGGATCGACAGCTGGGCATTTCCCCCACACCAGGCGTGAGACTGAGAGGGAGAGGACGGTGCTGATCCAGGTGGCCTGGGGAGGGGCAGAGCCAGGCTGGACCACCCTGTCCATGGCTGCCCGGCCCCTTTCTGCATCTCTCCCCACGGAATTGTCTCTGTGCCTCTCAGAATCTGGCTGCTCCGTGTGGGGCTGGGGTCTGGCCTCTGTCTTCCTTTCTTCTCTGTCTCTGAGTCTCTGCCACCATCTCAGGCACTGCATGTCTCCATCCCTCTCTCTTTCTCTGGGTCTCTGGCTCACTCCTCTCCCCATCACTACTGGCCCCATTCCAGGGGGACCCCGAGAAAAGGCAGGCATGCACCCCAACCTGTGTGCCTGGGAGGGGGCTTCCCGCGCTGCCCTGCCCCTCCCTGTGGGACCACCAGTCCCCTCTGGGGGAGACACAGGGAAGGGCTGGGGGCCCCTGGGGGGGGGTGGGGTCCGACCTTGGGCTCTGTGCCCGGCTGCCTGCTGGGGCCCTGGCCAGCCGCTGCAGCGAGCCGCTCCTCTCAGCGCACCCCACTTCCTCTCTGCTCCCTCTTCTCTCTTTTTACCCCTGTGCCCCTGTCCTTCTCTGTTTCTTCCTCTCCTTGGGGACCCTCTTGGGCTCCCCGCCCCTCCTCTCCTCATTCTCTCCCTCCCTCTATTTCCCTAG